GGCCTAGTGAATGTAGTCTTGAGGGCAGGAACCCTCCCTGCTCACAGTATCACAAGTTGGCCTGGAAACCCCTGGCATGGGCACAAAATCGTGGGTGTGGGTGCAGGGATTTGAAGCTTCCAAGGGAGGAGATGTACCACATTGCAACTTCTGCCAGATTCTCTATAGAGTCCACGGGCCTAGGGATGCTCGCTCACTGTGTGGGCAGGACCTCATGGGAAACCTATTAGAGAGGCCAGAGCAGAACAAGGAACAGAAAGGAGTGACGTGAACGTGCCTCGGCTCTTGCGTCCCTCCGCACACCCACCCTGTGTGCAGGACATCCCTGCCCTGTGCCTCCAGTTTTTGCTTTTCCCATCTCCCTCACCCTTCACACTGAACTTTCTTTCCTTCAGACCTGGAACTCAACCTACCTCCTTTGGGTCACGGTCCCCATCCTGTGGTGCATGTGTCTGTGTGGATTGGCTTCTTCTACTCTCAGAAGACAAGCAAAATTTTCTTGTTTTCAATTTTTTTTTTGGTGTGGAATTATTCTCTTAGATGCTTTTATTAAGAAAAAAAAGTATTTGAGCAGCAGCAGAAGCTTACAGAATTCAGTTGCTGTAAGTAGCTCATACCAAACTTCACAGCTTAAAATAATAATGGCCGCTGAGATGATAGATGAGAAATGGAGGAAGCACTGTCTGGATGTGGCCTCTCTCCCACGGTGGCACAAAGAGAATGCAGCAGACAGAGGAGGAAGTGTGGCAGGGTGTCTGCCACCAGGGAGAAGTTGCACCTGTCTTAGTAGGTAGTGATGTCTTCCTGAGGAAAAGCTGCCACCAAGGGGAGGGAATGGGGCCTCCTGAGATGGAGTCAGTGGAATGACTGCTTGCAAGGGTGTCATGGAGAACCTGTTCACCTGCAAGCCTGACCATGGGGCCTGAGCCTTGCAGAGGGGCCCGGGGAGGCCTTTGACCTGGTCTTGGTTCTGCAGAGAGCCAGGAAAGCACACTTTCAACCAAGGGAAGGAGCACATTCAGAGGCAACGCAGCTTAATGATTTCTTCCTGGGGAGGCCATGGGGACCAGTCTTACTGGAGAGGCTAAGATCCTGTGTGATGGTCTCCTCAGGCCAGAGGAGTTTTACTGGAGGCAGGAGACAGCAATCCTCAGGGAAAATGCTCCCGGCTTTTGCAGATGCTAAGCAGTAGGTCCAACTTTCAGGAAAACCAGAGACATCCTGTTGGTCCTGTCTGTGCTGCTGAAAGACACTGGCTCATCCCTTCAGGCTTTGACCTCCCTTCCCTGCAAGCTTTCACAAAAGAAAGGACTTGAACAAAGGGGTCTGGTCCCTGCCTTCATCCTAGTCTCCTCCCCAGGCTTGTTTTTAAAAATAACTTCTCTTTTTCTTCTACCACAGCAATTTACCCTTTGTAGGAAATACAGAAATATAGAAAAGTGCAAAGAAAGTGAAAACCAGCTATAATCCAATTACCCAGAAATAACCACTCTTCATATTTTGGCATCTAGTCTTTTTTCCATGAACGTTAATATGTATTACACATGCACATATATGTATTTGTACATATACTTATTTACATGTATTTATTTATAGAAATGCATGATTAAGCAATGACTGCTTTTAGAGAAAAGGCATAGTATCCTGGTTGAGAACTCAGGCTCAGGAGCCAGACTGCCTGGGTTCTAATCTTGGCTCTGTTATTTGCTGCTGATGTGGTCTTGATCTTTAACTTATCTCTGCCTCAGTTTCCTTATCCATAAATAGCCAAATTGGCTGGTGCAAAATAGTATCTCATTGTTGCCTGAATTTGTGGTTCTTTGTTGGTCATTTGTGTTTCTTGTAATCTGCTTCCTCTACCTCTCTATCCTTTGATAACCCACCATCTTTGTTGTCTCATCAACTTCTCTCTATGTATTGGCTTCCTTCCACCAATCAATAAGACTGATTACAATGTTTGTTTTAAACATACTCAGATCTCTCCTATTTAAAAAATTAAGCAAAACTCCTTGCTGAATGTGGGGAGCTCCTCTCTTTGTTAAACTTCCCAAGAGTAGTCTATACCTATCATTTACACTTCCTCATCTGCCTTTCTCAACCTTAGGCTGGTTGTTCCCCATTCGAAACTGCTTGGGACAAGGTTACCAATGGCTCCCTGTTGCCAAGTCCACCAGGTGCCTATTAGTTTTCATTCTCACCTGACTGCTTGCCTTTGGCACTAACGTCTACTCCCCGCTTCCCTGAGCACACACTCTCCTTCTTCCTGGTATCCCTCTCCCTACTCTCTTTCCATTCCTTCCTGGTCTCTTTCATACATTTCTCTCCCTGAGAGTTCTTTGTCTCAGTCTTGTCTCCTGGTTCCTTCTGTTTGCTGAGACCCTGGCTGAACTCATCCACATCCATATCTCCATTGCCTTGTCAATGTGGACAGTCCCCAGATCTCTGTCTTTCATTGGGACCACTCTTCTGAGCTCCAGACCCATACACCCAACTGGACACCACCATGAAGACAACCTGCAGAGCCATCAAATCAATGTGTGTCAAACTGAGTTCAGTGCCTTCCATACAGACCCACCCCTCTTTTTGGTTTCTGTCTTTGGAAAGGGTCAGAATCACATCTTTATTAAAATGTCAGTGATGACTCTGTCAAAAGGAATCAAGGCAGTAGTTACATTAACGGTTGAATTTTTGGAATAGAAGATGGGGGCAGGGGTGTGGAGGGGCTGCTGGGCCTTCCCAATATCACAGAAGTCACAGATGCTGCTCTGCTTCATATTCTTCTGCCAAACAAGGTAGACCCTGGTGCTTGACAGACAACAAACACTTAAAATTACTAAATGAATGAAAACTCATGGGACCAAGAATAATTGCTTTGCACGAAATGCTTTAGCTGGAAGGGCTCTCAAAGATCATCTAGTCTAACTGTGGCCCACATAAGGGTCTGTGCTTAGCACATTTCCAGTGGTGCAGAGAAAAGACCCCAAGCCTCCCCACTTCCCAAGCAGTGTCATTTTTCCTGGGGCCACTAGGCGTGGCCATTAGGGACACCCCTGCCATTACCTGAGAGGCACGGGTCCAGGTGGGGGCTTTGACCTGACATTGCTTTCTTTTTACCACCCATGTCCCCCACCTTAGACATCCTTAGAATAGAATGGGGTTCCGTATTTCTTGCAAAGAATTTTCTTAACTCTGACTGGGCTCCCAGGCCCAGAAGTCACATGCGGATGTAGTTATTAACATCTTAGTGAAGGAAATGCTCTATTTGGAAAAATTATTTATTGCAGAAAATTCAAAACATACCAAGAAGAGAGAGAAGAGTGCAAGGAATCCCGTGCATTCATTACTCAAATTCCATTCAATCCCATCAAATCTGTCTCATTCTCACCACCACATTTTTTGTTTGGTTTTGTTTCATTTCATTTCTAGGTAATTTTAAAGCAATATTTGTCAGATTCTTTGATCTCAAGACTCCTTTACACTTTTAAAAAATATTGAGGACCCCAAACAGCTTTTGTCAGTTAAATTTTTTATATTTACATTAGATATTAAAACAAAGAAACTTTAAAATATTTACTTATTAATTCATTTTAAAATAATAGTAATACTTATTACATGTTAATGTAAATGACATATTTTAAATGAAAAAAATTATATTTTGCAAAACAATAACTAGAAAGAAGAGTGGCATTATTTTACATTTTTACAAATCTCTTTTATGTCTGGCTTAATGGAAGATAACTGGATTCTCGATAGAGAAAATCTTTTTTTCTTTTTTTGAGACAGAGACTCACTCTGTCCCCTAGGCTGGAGTGCAATGGTGAGATCTTGGCTCACTGCAACCTCTGCCATTCGGGTTCAAGCGATTCTCCTGCCTCAGCCTCCCAAGTAGCTGGGATTACAGATGCCCACCACTACACACCTGGGTACTTTTTGTATTTTTAGCAGAGATACGGTTTTGCCATGTTGGCCAGGCTGGTCTCAAACTCCTGACCTCAAGTGATCCACCCACCTCTGCCTTCCAAAGTGGTGGGATTACAGGCATGAGCCACCGTGCCTGGCCAGAAACTGGATTCTTGTGTCTGCTTCTACATTCAATCGATTACAATTTGTTGTTTGATTGAAATGTGTGAAGAAAATCTGGCCTCACATACAGCCATAGATGGAAAATGAAGGCACCTTTTAATAGTGCTTGATGAGTACTTCCCATGTTGTCACATGAAATACTTAACAGACGTATTCTGAAAGGTCAAGATTTAACAAAACTAATAATTTCTATTGCTTCATGTAGTACCTTCTTTTTTTTTTTATTTTTGTGAGACAAAGTTTTGCTCTTGTTGCCGAGGCTGGAGTGCAGTGGCATGATCTTGGCTCACTGCAACCTCCACCTCCCAGGTTCAAGCAATTCTCCTGCCTCAGCCTCCTGAGTAGCTGGGATTACAGGCTGAGCCACCACACCCAGCTAATTTTTTGTATTTTTAGTAGAGACAGGGTTTCACCATGTTGGCCAGGCTGATCTCCAACTCCTGACCTCAGGTGATCCACCTGTCTCAGCCTCCCAAAGTGCTGGGATTACAGGCATGAGCCACCACTCCCATGCCAGTACCTTCTTAAGTGAAATTGACCTTTTTAATTTTTATCTTTTTTTTTTTTCTTTGAATAGGTGGCTGTAAAGAATACAGTGACTGAGACCAGGTACACTGGCTCGCGCCTGTAATCCCAGCACTTTGGGAGGCGGAGGCTGATGGATCACGAGGTCAGGAGTTCAAGATCAGCATGGCCAAGATGGTGAAACCCCATCTCTACCAAAAAAATACAAAAATTAGCAGGCGCGGTGGTGGGCACCTGTAATCCCAGCTACTTGGGAGGCTGAGGCAGGAGAATCACTTGAACCCTGGAGGCAGAGGTTGCAGTGACCCAAGATCATGTCACTGCACTCTAGCCTGGGCGACAGAGCAAGACTCTGTCTCAAAAAAAAAAAAAAAAAAAAGCATACAGTGACTGTGAGGACTGTTCTATACTGCTGCCTTGATTCCTGCTGGAGCATTGGCAGTTTTATTCATTATTGCTTTTGCATCATCAGTGCAAATGTCAAGGCAGTGAAAAAGGTGAGGGACATCGTAATACTGTTATTAAAATAGTTTTGACTCTGAAGATCCCTGAAATAATCTTGGGGATTGCCTCAGATATCTATAGCCTGCACTTTGAAAAGTGCTGTGTTTAAGCAACTCTCAGGCATCACACCACTAACCTATAAATAATTAATATGCCTCTCTAACAAGGGCTTACAAAAACATAACCACACTACTAATATCACTTTGAACACAATTAATAACATGTTCTTTATATCCTCTAATAACACTCAGCCTGTGTTCAAATTTCCCCATACTGCCTCAATCTTTTTTTAATGGTTGCTTTGTTTGAATTAGAATCCAAATTATGTCCACACATTGCATTTTTTTTTTTATGTCTCTAAGAAATCTATTTCAGTGCCCCCTCCTCTCTCCATTTTCATTTCATTTACTGCATTTGTTGGAGAAAGTGGATCATTTGTGCTATACCATTTCTAGTATTTTAGGTTTGGCTGATTTCATCCTTGTGATGTTATTTGACATGTTTTTTGGTCTCCCATATATATACGGGAGTTAGATCTGGAGGAGGGTTTCTCAACGATGCACTGTTGATATTTTGGACTGGATCATTGTTGATTGTGGGGGCTGCCCTGTGCACAAAGGGATGTTTAGCAGCATCCCTGGCCTCTAGACACTGGATGTCAGTAGCACATTCCTGGCTGCGAGTTTTAACTACCTAAAATGTCACCAGGCATTGCCAAATGTCTGGGAGGCAAAATCATCCCCAGTTGGTTGAGAGCTACTGCTCTAGAAACTGCATTAGATTCTGGCTCAGCTTTCATTTTGCCAGGAACAAGTCATAGGTGGTGCTGAGTATTTCTTATGACATCGACCTAATGTCTGATTTCCCCAACTTTCATATGTTAAAATTGATCCCTGACTTCAAATGTTGTCAAACGAACCCATCAACTTAAAAGATCTCTTACAACCCTTCTAAAAGTTTTAGCACTCATTGATGATTGTAGCCTGGATCCATTACATCATTAGGGGTTGCAAAGTGGTGATTCTTTTTCTCTATTTAAATCATTTGCTTCTGTCTTAATTAGCTGTTCTACTTCTCTAAAGAATAACTTTCCCTGATCAACTACTTGATTATTTTGAAATCAGAACAAAGTAGGAGAAGTACTTGGTTATTTTTCTTCATTTACTAATTCTCAGAAAAATAAGTTTGTGCCCCATTCATTCTTCCATTATCTTTTCTTTCTACTTTGAAATAATTTCAGACTTACAGAAAAATTACAGGAATAGTTCAAAAAGCTTTTCCCTGCCGAACAATCTGAGAGTGAGTTGCTGACATGATCCCCTTTCATTCCCCCATACTTTAGTGTGTATCTGCTATTCACAAGGACCATAGTGTGTATCTGCTATGAACAGCCATCGCCCGACACCCTGCACTGAGTAGCCACCACTGCCACCATCCCCCTGCACCCCCAAAACACAGATGCCCTCCTCACCATGTTTAGCCTCAACTCCCATGTCAGGCTTGCTGTACTGCTTTTTCTGCTATGCATGAGTGTTTTAGCATCTATTTCACTGGACATGCATACTCCAAATAGTGGGTTTCAAAATCACTTGAAATACTCCTCTTATAGTTGTGTAACAAACTTGATATATAGTTTGTTTCAGTTTGTTTCCAGTTTAGGAAATTGGAAATTTGCTTTATTTTATATTTTTAATTACATGAAATATTTTCTTGTTTCCAAATTCAAAACTAAAACCGAGAGAAGTCTAGCTTTTAGAATTCGGAGGAATCTTGCTTCCTTCCATGTTTCTTCCATTCTGTTTCTTCTCTCTCCCTGTAGATAAATAATTTTTATTAATTTTTGGCTTATACTTCAATTGTTTGCTCACTCAGTACACTGTTCTATGCCTTGTTTTTAAATTTTTTTAAACTTGGTGTTATAGCCTGCAGATGACTCCATAGCTGAACACAGAAGTCTTCCTCAGTCATTTTTGCTTAACAGCTTTATTGAGTCATAATTTACAATCACAAAATTTATGCATTGCAAGTGTATAATTCAATGATTTTAGTAGATGTATAGAATTATGCAATCACCACACCATCTAGTTTCAGAACATTTCCATCACTTCAGAAAGTTCCCTTGTGTCCATTTGCAGTCAATCCCCACTCCCAAACCAGCCCCAGGCAACCACTGATCTGCTTTCTGTCTCTAGACATTTGCTTTTTCTAAACATTTCAGGCAGTCATATGGTATTTTGTGTCTGGTTTCTTTCACTTACCACGTTCTTTAAGCTTCATTCATGTTGTTGCATGTATTCGTACTTCAATTTTAATTGCCTAATTGTACCCCACTGTATGACAATACCACGTTTTGTTTATCTGTTATTTGTTAACCAGTTGACGGCTATTTGGATTACTTCCAGTCCTTGATTATTATGAATAATACTGCTATCAACATCCATACATATGTCTTTTTTTTTTTTTTTTTACAGTCTCGCTCTGTCACTCAGGCTGGACTACATTGGTGTGATCATGGCTTACTGTAATTTCCACTTCCTAGGCTCAAGTGATCCTCCCACCTCATCCTCCCAAGTAGCTGGGACTACAGGTGCACACTACCATGCCTGGCCATTTTTTTTAAAGTTTTTGTAGAGATGAGGTCTCACCATGTTGCCCAGGCTCATCTCCAACTCCTGGACTCAAACAATCATCCCACCTCAGCCTCCCAAAGTGTTGAGATTACAGGCATAAGCCACTGTGCCTGACCTATATGCCTTTGTATGAACACGTACAAAATGTTGGATGGATTCTTAGAAATGGAATTTCTGGTCACCCTCATTCATTTTACCACTGCATAGAACTCTGGTGCATACTGTTTCATTTTTCCTTTAGGCTATTACAAATAGTGCTGTAATGGATAATTTATGCATATGTAATTTATTCCTTTTTCCAGTGTATCAGTTTGACAGATTCTTAGAAATGGGTTTGGTGGGTCCAATGATAATCACATATGCAGTTTAGCCAGATATTGCCAAATTCTCTCCATAGGGGTAATGTCATACATCATTCTGTATCCCCACCAGAAATCTATGGGAGTGGTTTTCCACAGTCTTGGCATCAGCATCTATCACGCAACTTTTATATTTTCATGAATAGTTAAGAAGTGTTATCTCGTGACTTTCTAATTAGAAATGCTTTCTTTTCTGATTTATACTTTATTCACTCATTCATTCATCCATCCCATACCACCAAGAGGCAGCAGCCCATAGGTTACTCTTATTGCTATTACTATTGTCATAAGTGCCAGGTTCAGTACCAGCTCTCAACAAGGCAGGACATATTCCTGCCACGTTGGAGCTTATATTTTGGTAAGGAAAGACAAATAATACATTTGCTAAGTTAGAACATGTTCATATGGTGGTAAGTACTATGATGAGAACTGAAAGAGGATAATGGGGTAGATCAGTGGACGACATCCATCCATTTATTTATTTACTGAGCCCAGGCTCTAGATAAAGGGTTAGGGTGCTCCTGGTTAAGATGTAGACAGAGTCTTTGTTAAGATGACCAGAGAAAGTGTGTGGGTTCTGATAGGTCACACAGAGCAGAAGGCACAAGCTGACACTCCTGTACTGGGTCCTGGGAACAGAGACGAGCAGATGTGGTCTCTGTTCACAGTCAGTACGGGAGAAAGACAAGAAATTAAGCTACACAGTAAGAAAAATGCCCTCATCCTACAGTGAGAGCCTAGGAGAAGGCATTCCAGAGCTTTCCTCAGGTTGTTGACGGGTCAGGGAAGAATGCACAGGGCCTGGGAAGACGAGTGAGGGTAGCTGGCAACCCCACAGGGAGAGCAGCTCAGGCTGCCCCTGGGCACAGACCACTGACCTCTTGGTGGGACTGTGAAGTAGCAAGGGCCTCTTTGGAACAAACCTCTTCTTGTCCTCCTATTTTCCATGTTCACACAGTTCCTGGGACTTGGTGGTTTGTGATCTTAGGGACTTTACTTCTCCTCTCCATAGGTGTTTCATGGGCCCCCAAAGATGTCTACATCCTAATCCCTGAAACCTATGAAGATGTGACTTTACATGGCAAAAGGGACTTTGGAGATGTGGTTAAGGATCTTGAGATGGGGAAATTATCTTGGATTATTGGGGAATAGGGGAGGGGTTGATGTAATTCACAGCATCCTTATAAGACAGCAGCAAGAGAGTCGGAGTTAGAGATGCGGAGGTCGGAGTGAGCAGCCAGGAGTCAAAGAACGTGGGTGGCCTGTGGGCACTGGAAAAGGCCAGGAAACGGCTTCTCCCATGGGACCTCCAGAAGAATGTGGCCCTGCTGTCCTGTTGATTTTAGGCCAGTGAGGCCCATTGCTGACTATTGCTGACTTCTGACCTCTAGAACTATAAGATAATAAATCTGTGTGGTTTTAGGCCACTAAATTCGTGATGATTTGTTATAGCAGTGTATTAGTCTGTTCTTGCACTGCTATAAAGAAATACCTAAGATTGAGTATTTTATAAAGAAAAGAGGCTTAATTGGCTCACAGCTCCACAGACTAAACAGGAAGCATGGCTAGGGAAGTCTCAGGAAACTTACAGTCATGGTGGAAGGCGTAGGGGAAGCAGGAATGTCTTACATGGCTGGAAAGGAGGAAGAGAAGCGGGGAGGTGCCACATACTTTTAAACAACTAAATCTCCATCATAAGACAACACTAGGGAGATGGTGCTAAGCCATTAGAAACCACTGCCGTGATCCAATCACCTCCCACTAGGCCCCACCTCCAACACTGGGGATTACAATTGAACATGAGATTTGGGTGGGGACACAGAGCCAAACCATATCAAGCAGCAATAGGAAATGAATACAACACTTTAGTTTCCTCATCCTCAAAATGGAAGTAATAACAGCTCCAATTTCGTAGGGTTTCTGTGAGGATTAAAAAGCAAATGTCTATTGAAGAGCTTAGTAGGGCACCCCGCTCCATCAAGGTGGATGCTGGTTGTTACTGCTCCTGCTCAGCCCTAACAGAGGCCCTTACTCTCATCTTGTTGCCAACTAAAGCCCCAAGGCCTTCATCTTTCCCTCATCCCCCTCCTCATCCCTTAATGGCAACATGCGGGGTTCACAAATAGCCTTCAGGTCAATCGAATCATTGAATTTTATATTTTGCTTATCGCTTGGGTAAAAATGTTCCTTTGTTGATTTAACACTCATTTCTCTGATTACTAATAGAGTTAAGCATTGAGTCATACATTTATTGTCCATTTGTGTTTCTTCTTTTGTGACTTGTCTACTTATGTCCTTTGTTTATTTTCCTACTAGAGTGTTCATCTCTTTTAAATTCAGCCATTTGTCATATAAGTTGGGAATATTTCCCCGAGTACATCATCTGTCATTTCATTTTATTTATTTATGGTGTCTTTAGTTGAAGATCTATCAATCATGTCTTTTATAGCATCAACTTTTATGTTATGCTTTAAAAGTTCTTCTTGCTAGCAAGATTACAAAAATTTTTTCTAATTTTTTGGTAACACATTTATGATTTTATTTTACAGTGTAAATTTTAAACCATCTAGCATTTGGTGTCAGAAATGAGGAATTAATTCATTCCCCAAAGTGACTTATGCATGTCGTGAATATCCATTCCATCACCAATGGTTTGTGATTACATATTCATCATGCATTGACTTTCTATATACTTGGTTTTATTATTCATGAGTCTACTTTGCCAGTAAGTTGTTACTTCTAATTATCTATGTAGCAAATTTCTAGTACAACAAAAATACTGGACCTCTTTCTTTTACATTATCTTCTTTTTCAACGTTTTATGTACTTTTCTTAACAAAGCTTGGTGTCCATTTAGTTAAGTTTCAAAAAATTTATTTTTGAGACTTTGTAATTGTGTTAAGTTTCTAGATTAATTCTTAGAGTATTGATGTGTTCATAGATTAAGGCTTTTAATCCAAGTATACAATGTGTTCTTTTATTTATTGAAGTCTTTTTAATGCACTTCAAATAGTGATTTGTGATTTTCTCTACATACGTCTTGTTGTGGGATAGTAGAGTAATATTTGGTCTTTGTCCTTAGTTCCTGTCAGAGAGCTTCTAAAATCTTTGGAATTTCCTGAATGATAAGCGTGACAGGAGCATCTTTTGTTCTAATGAGGTGACTGTGGGTGGGCTTCCAGATACCTTTAAGTTAGGGCTGATCTCCATAAAGAACTAGACTTGATTAGAAGCTTGAAACTTTCGATGCTCCTCCCCAACCTCTGAGGAGGAGAATAAGCAACTCATCAATGGCTAATGATTTAATCAACATGCCTAAGTCATGAAACCTCCATAAAAACCTCAAAACAATATAGTTCGGACAGCTTTGGGTTGGTGAACACATCAAAGTACTGGGAGGGTGGTGCACTCAGAGAGGGCAAGGAAGCTCCTCCCCAACCCCACCCACACCTTGCCCTGTGTATCTCTTCCATTTGGCTGTTCCTGAGTCATATGCTTTATAGAGAAATGGTAAATGTAAGTTATGTGGTGTATAAGTCTGTTCTCACACTGCTAAAAAAGACATACCTGAAACTCAGTAATTTATAAAGAAAAAGAGATTTAATGGACTCACAGTTCTACATGGCTGGGGAGGCTTCACAATCATGGTGGAAGGTGAAGGAGGAGCAAAGGCACATCTTACAGGGCAGCAGGCAAGACAGCATGTGCAAGGGAACTGTTCTTTATAAAACCATCAGATCTCGTGAGACTTATTCACTATCACAAGAACAGCATGGTAAAAACCCACCCCCATGATTCAATTAGCTCTCACTGCATTCCTCCCATGATACACAGGGATTATGGAAGCTACAATTCAACATGAAATTTGGGTGGGGACATAGCCAAACCATATCATGTGTTTTCCCGAGTTTTGTGAGACATTCTAGCAAATTATTGAACCTGGAGTGGGGACATAGGGAGGTGGTACTCCTTGACCTTGTAGCCAAGTCAGACAGAAGTGTGGGGATTCTGGGGATCTGATAATTGTGGCTGGCATCTGAAGTGAGAACAGTCTTGTGGGACTGAGCCTTTAAACCTGTGGAGTCTGGTGCTAACTCTGGGCAGTTAGTGTCAGAATTGAACTCCATGTTAGACACCCAATTGGTACTGGAATTTGTTGCTGTCAGGAGGGGAAAAAATCCCACAAAAACCTGTCTATTCCTTATAAAGGTTTTTCCTAACCATTGCTATTGTGAATAGGCTCCTTTTCTCATGCTAATTCTTACTGGTGGTGACATAGGAGTTAAGAAAAAATTAGAAAGATAGTGAGGGTATGGGAGTCCTCAGTAAGATATTCCTTTTAATGAAAAGCAGCCTCCAAATAATTTTCTTTTCTAAGAAAGAACAGCCTGCAGAATCAAGCTGCAGACATAGACAAGCAAGCTAGAAGCTTGCACAGGTGAATGCCAGCAGTTGTGCCAATAGGAAGAAACTACCTGGGAATAAGCAAGAGAGAAAATGACGGCTCCATCCTCTCTCTTCCTTGCCAACCACATGTACAGCAAGGAGCAGACAAGATGGCAGCTGACTAAGTAGAAAGTCCATTTGCATAATAAGATTGTGGGGGTGACCAGCCTTCCCCACGCATCATGTAAACATCACACCTGGTCGAATCAATCTGTGGGCTCTATGTAAATCAGACACCGCCTTCTCAAGCCTGCCTATAAAATCTGCTGCAGTCTACCCCTTTTTCCCCTTTCAGAAGTCTCTCTCTCTCTCTCTCTCATATGAGATATAGCTACTCTCCTCTCTTTTCTTTTGCCTATTAAACTTTCTGTTCCTTAACCCACTCCGTGTGTGTGTTTCTGTGTCATTTCAATAATCTTCTCAGCGCAAGATGATGAACCCCAAGTATTTGCCCTAGACAATGATGCCCCTTCAGTGGCATATGGAATAAGTACTCATTTTTGTGCATTTATTGTGTAAAATTATTGATATATCTTTTAGTTATTTTTTCATGGAGTATGTTGGGTTTTCAAGGTGGGTAATAACATTATCTGCAAATATTCATGTTATCTCTAACATTTTAATATTCATGTCTTTCCTTTTTCTTGCCGTGCTCATTCCATCTTGGTTTTCAGATCCAGATTACAGCATCTTGAAGGCAAGTAACTTTGGTGTCTTATGCATGCACTGTCATCTGTCAGGTCGTGGGGACCACTGTAGGCAATGGTTCAGAGGCAGTGGGTCTTGTATTTGGATCCCACCAGGAGGGCCACACCCAGGCTGGCCCAAAGCCACATCAGTCTCTATTACTGTTCAGTAAAGCCATAGGTGAAGCCAGGAGGCTGTTGTGTCAAATCTAAGAAACCCAAGTAAGGATGGAAACAGGAAAGTAAACAGCAAGGATGGAGACCAGGGGGCTTGTAAACAAGAAAGAATGGATGGACCAATGGGTAAACAGGTATATGTGAGGTGGGTAAGAACCTGAGAATGTGAAAGGCGAGAGTTTCTCTCTTGTATGTGTGCCTGGCCATGCCTGGCTGAGACATCATGACTACACATGGGCCATTTTTGTGCCTGCCTTGACACTACTGTAAACGAAAGAAAGTGTGAGTAAAGGACTTGGGAATTGAAGGTCAGTTATCAATTAGGCAGTGTCCAGGGAGCAAAGCAGCAGGCAATGGGGACCGGCCATCAGGTCCTCTTCATTTAGTGTTCCAAGAGCTTCTTTAATTTTAGAGGGTTTGGCTCTGGTGCCTCCATGCTCAACCTGGTCCTGTGAAATTCCCTCCCCTTCACTAAATATGTGAGAGAAGTTCTTGGGCCCTGGGCTCGTGCTGCAGAGATGGCTCTGCTAGTGCCCCAGTCTCAGCAGCACCCCTAGCTGAGCCTGTTCCCAGAAAAAGGGCCTCACACATCACACTGTTGTTGATCTTCTGTCATACATGTTGCAGAGTTCCCCAAAGTGGGTTTTCTAGAAACCCTGCATAGATTTAGTTTTTCTGTTATTTCAAAATAATCTGGGATATGGCTTGTTAAAAAGTGAATTCCTGGACCCTACCCAGGATACACAGAATCAGAATATTTAGACACAGAAATGTACATTTTCAGTAAGCTATTCAGGTTATTCCTGTGGGCGTTAAGTTTGCAAATAGCTTTTTTAAGGCAGAGGTTCTCAAAGTCCCTGCATCAGCATTACCTGGGAACTTGTTAGAAATGGAAATTGTTAGGCCTCATCAACCTCCCGAATTAATAACTCTGGGTTTGAGGCCCAGCATTCTGAGTTTTGAGAAGCCTCCAGGGGATTCTGATGCACTTTCAAGTGTGAGAGCTACTGGATTAAGGCAAGGGTTCTCAACCCAGTCTTCCCATGAGAGTATCCTTAGAAAACTCCTTTTAAAAGTTGGCAATGCTCAAGAGATTCGGTTTAATTGATCCAGTGGAGCCTGGGCATTTTTTTGCATATGTGTATTTTATTTGTTTATGTACTTGTGTTATAGACCTTAGTTTTTTGAGCAGTTTTAGGTTCACTGCAAAATTAAGCAGATAGAACAGAGATATCCTATATACTCCCATCCTTTACAAGTGTACAGCCTCCCCATTATCAACACCCCCTGCCCAGAAGGTAAATTAGTTACAAATGATAAAACTGTAGTGACAAATCATTATCACCCAAGACCACAGTTTACATTAGAGTTCACTCTTGGTGTTGTGCATTCTGTGGGTTTAGACAAATGTAGAGTGACATGCATCTGCTATTATCGTGTCATATAGAGTGGTTTTCCACCCTGAAAATCCTCTGTGCTTTGCCTAGTCATCCCTCCCTCCCCACTATTGCCTGAAAACCACTGATCTTTTTGAGCCTGAGCAATGATTTTAATGTGCAGCCAGAGATGAAAATGATGGTTTAGGACAGTGGTTCTCAGGGAATGATTTTGTAGCCCAAGGGATGCTTGGCAAAGTCTGGAGATATTTTTAGTTATCACAGTGATTGAGCAGGGAGGTGGTGGTGGCTGCTACAGGCATCTAGTGGGGAGAAGCCAGGGATGCTGCTAAACATCGTACAGAATAGCCCCCAACGGCAAAGAATTACCTACATAGAGATGTCAATAGTACCAAGGTTGAGACACCCTTGCCCAGGGGAACAGTCATACTCAAGAATCTCAGCTTCTAGACTTAGTAAAAAAAAAAAAAAAAGTATATATTTGCTGTGATCCTCTTATTCTCAGAAGCAAAAGACATTACATCTAACTTAATCATCCCCACCTACATGATAGCATATACAGATATGCTTACACAAAGTAATATTTGCATTCATAAAAGGCATCCCCAATATACATGCAAACACACACACACAGATAAGTGTACATGTTGTCCACACATGCATGCATGCTGGTACTCATATTTACTAAACCACACATACATCCACAGTCACACATCCACCATAACTCACAATCATTAAAACATGCACATACACTTACACATGCACACACTGTCAATCCCATTTATTAAATGACAAGCACCCCAGAGCCACCCAAAGTTCTCCTGCCCTCTCTGGCCCCATTCTCCCTTTGTCCTACCTGAATGACTGTCTTCAGAGGCCTAGATGTTGGGCTTGACACAGTGGAGGCTCCCCATGCCAAGGTCAAGGCTGCATGTCCACGGGGTGCTGACCAACCAAGTAGGGTGCAAGGGGGCTCTACTGGGCAAGGTGCTTGGGAGCTGCATGAAAGAGCAGTGAGAAGGGACCTCAGGTCCAAGACATGCCAGGAACCTGGGAAGGATGAGGGCAGGGAGAGAAAAAGGAGCCAAACTGATGCTCAGCTCAGGGGAGGAGAGAGTGAGAAAGGGAGGACTAGGGAGAGGCTGGGGCTGTGCTGAGGCCCTCGACGGAGCACCCTGTCATCTCTTTCTGTATCTGTTGTCTTCTCAGCTGTTAAGGGTCCACTTGACACTATTTTAGACACTTCCATGCATATCTTGAAAAACTGTAGTGGAAAGAGCACTTGTTTTTGGAGACAGGTAGATTAAGTTTGAATTTTGGGTCTGCTACTTGCTGGCTGTATAATCATGTGCAAATTTCCCAAACTCTTATCCTTGGGTCTCTTATGTGAGAAGTGGGCATAGCAATACCTATTCTAAAAGATTTTGTAAAGATTAAGTGGGAGGAAATGTATAAACTGCTCATAAATTATGAGGCATGGAATATGCCCCTAACAGTACTAGATCCTTTCTCTTACCCTCTCTCCAGCTACTTTTCATGTATTCATGCATGTTTATTCCTAGAATAAAAGCTCTATTGAATTGGAAAACACTTCCAGAAACAGTATAACTGGGTCAAAGGATATGGTCACTTTGATGATCTTTCATATTTATTGTTAATTCCTTTTCAAATACTATTTCTGGATATTTTTTCCAATGGATGTCTCTCAAAACATGAAAAAAACTTTATGTGAAGACATTATTTATAATTGCAGTGTTGTTTATAAATAATTATACAATAGGAGGATAATCACTGACTTAACACTTTTAGGAATAAGGCAGCATGGAGACAAATAATTAATGGTCAAGGCACTTACGATATCACTTCTTGATAGGTTATTAATCAGCCATTGAAATAATAAGAACAAAGACTAGGGGGTAAAATCAGAAACACTATATGACCAAATTAAAAGAGAAAATTTGAAATCAATTCTCAACAATTATTACAGGGCTATAATACGCACATATTTGAATACAATTTCAGATAACACTCTAAAGTGAAGCTTGGCAAACTTTTCTGTAAAAGGGCAGAGAGTAAATATTTTAGACTTTGCACAGCAGATAGTCTCTGTTAACAACCACTCAATTCTGCTGCTGTAGGGTAACAACCACTCAATTCTGCTGCTGTAGTGTGGAAGCAACCATTGAGGGTACATGAATGAATGTGTTTTAATAAAACTTTATTTACAACAACAGGTTGCAGGATGGATTTGGCCCTTGGTCCAGTTTGCCAATCCCTACTTTAAAGTGAAAATATTATGAATAAATGAAAATATTTTTCTTTCTAAGTTTCCTTTTATAGCCTTGCTATATGATCATTTTTTAAAGACTTGAGAAAAAGATGGGCATGTAATATAACAATGGGCAGAAGTCCTGACTTGATGATGAACAGAAGGAATACCAGAGTTCCACGAACATTTGAAAAATTAAATATTCATCACATTTCAAATACAAAATGAAATTTTTTTTAAAACCTTAAAATGTTTAGTACTTACAGAAGTGTAGCGATATAGGCACTTTATTACAGTACCAGTTGGAAAGTAAATTAGCACCCCCATCTCTGATTAGAAAATTGTTGATATGCCAAGACTTTTCCAATCATTCAAAGCCAACCACCCCCATTTCCTAGAACCTGTCGTTACATAATAATTGAATTACAGAAAGAATTCCGTGTTATTTATTATGGCAAAAAAATTATAAACAACATAAGTGTCCAACAAGAGAGAAATGGTTTGTGAATTATGATGAAATGATAGAATTATGATACCATATGATGGAATAATATATATCATTAAAATTACATTTTTAACAGGAATAGCCAGAAAACTTCTGAAAAAAATAAGTAACGAGGGCTGATTAATCCTACCAAATATTAAAATAAAATCTAAAGTCAGAGTAATTACATTAATGTAGAAAATGTGTTTCATTGGACAGAAAAATGGAAAAGAATAGACATTTCAGCAATAAATCCCAAACCATGTGGTAATTTATTATGTCTTATAGGTAGCACTTCTCATCAGGAAGAAAGATGTATTTATTATTGAATAAATAGTGTTAGGACACCCGGGTAGCTATTTGAAAAGAAAAATGAATCCCTACCTCACACCTTCCTCCAAATTAATTCCATATCAAAGATTTAAATGAAAAAATAAAGCTATAACTTACTTCAAAAAATAGTTAAAAAATAAGCTCAGAGATCAGAAAGCCTTTTAAAGTACGATATAGAAGTCATAAACAATATGATTATAGGATAATATGCATTTTTAAGTTTTTCAATCTTACTACATCAGATAGAAAATGATCAAATATGTGATTGCACATCCTCCCCACAAGGAGGGTGTGGGAAAACATCATGCTATATATTGCCAAATCGAAATTTGCAATATCTAACTAAATAAAAATTCACATATCCTTGGACTCAACAAAAATTCACTTTTAAATACTTATTTTAGAAATGTAGTTACACATTTAAATGAAATATATACAAGGTCATTGTATATTTCAATACTGCTTTTAATAGCAAAAAATTGCCAACAAAACTTAAAAAATCTATCAACAGAGGCCTTGTTAAAATATTGCATATATTATACAATGCAAAACTAAAAATTATACAACTGTCTAGATGCCAATGCTTTATCCTTATTGATACAGAAATACTGCAAAATATTTGATTAAGTGAAAAAAGCATGGTGGAAAATTGTGTGCATATTATGCTAAAAATTTTATGGGGGAGAAAAATAGAATGTATACCTATAAAAGGTGTAGACTGTTTCAGGAAGGATATATGAGAAACTTAGAGAATGCATCTGGGGAGGAGAAATAGGTGGTTGGATAGGGAAAGCGAAATAAACTCAATTTTCATTATATGCCCTTTTGTACTTTTTGAATTTATAAGAAAAGCATTACCTGTTTAAAAGTTAGAGTTTTCAAATAATACTTAATGACATGCAAAAATATTTTTCTCAACTATATTTCCTATGTCTCTGCTTGGATAGCTAAGAGGCATCTAAAACTTAACCTGTCTAAAACTAAACTCCAGATACTTCCCCAAGAATCTGTTCCATCTTCCATTTTTCTCATATCAGTTAATGGCAACTCCATTCTTGTAGCTGCTCAGGCCAAAACACTTGGAGTTATCCTTAACTTCTGTCTTTCACCCATTGCATCCAACTCTGGCCACGCTGGCTTTCTTGTTATTCCTGGGAAATGCCAAGCACATTCTGGTCTTATTGCTTTGTACTGCCTGTGCTGTCCTGCCAAGAAGGCCCTTCCCCTAATCTGCACGCTTCTCTCTCTTCTTGTCCAAGTCTCTGTCGATATTTCACCTTGCTGAGAACTAACCAGCCCTCTCCCCAGTGCTTCTGACCCATTTTCACTTTACGGAAAAAAATTACAGGGTATTCATTACCTTTTAGCATAATATCTAATTTCCTTCCTTTTATATTTTCTGTCTCTTCTCACTTGACTAAGCTTCATGAGGACACTGATTTTTTTTGTCTTTTTTTTTTCCATTGTTGTTTCCCCAGTGAGAGTGTCTGGCACATAATAAGTCCACAATAAACATTTTCTAAGTGAATTAAGGAATGAATAAATGAAGGAATATGAAGTTTATAGACTACAACATAAAATAGCATCTACAGTATTAGTTTTGTAAAAAATGCACATAAAATATTTATGGATTGTTTTTCTAAAACATATTACATTATGAGCACTTGGTAATATTTTTTCCTTCCCTCACCCATGAAAGAATATTCTGTCATTAATTGCATGGCCGCTTCTCCTACAATTTCTAGGGCAAGGAATAGATCCCCAAGTTCAGACTCTTCCAAGCAGAATTGAGAAAACAGATAGAAAGAAAAGATGAGTTGCAAGGAGTGAAAGAAGTTAACATAATTTAATATTGGGAATGAGAACAGGGTCTCTTAGAGGAAGAAGAGAAGCATGAAAAAGGGAAAGAAGGGGGGAAAAGAGTGAAACACCCAGATGGTAGGATTTAGGATGATTTTTGTTGGTAGGTAAGAGTAAAGGGTTATGAGCACTTTGGGGAAGCTGCAGGGAATGGGAGGTGGCAAGAGAATGAGAACAGGCCAAAAAACTCTATAAGTGTTTCTATAGATTATAAATTGCATTTCCTTGGATTTTCTTTGAGGATCTCCAGTGAAGAGCTCAATTGCTTTTGATCACTTTTGGAGAGAGATTTTTTTTTTTTTTTCCTAAACTGTTCCAGAACTGGACCACAGGGATTCCTGGCTTTTTAGGGGAGAAATAAATATATAGCAATATTTAAAATGATTTGTTCAGAGCAGTGGTTTTATGTAATATTTTAATTTTCTTCTATTTTTTTCTATACTTTTCCTATTTTTTTCCATTACGAATGTATTACTTTTAAAATAAAGAAGAACATGCTTTAACAGTTTTCATTCCCTTTAGTTCTTTAAAGAGCCTCTGCACAGCAGTCGGTAGGTGCCTGACTCATCCATGCGCAGCCAGCTGGGCCAGGAAAGCAAGGTTGCAGTCACAGCCAGCTCATGACGTCGCAAGGCTCCTTTCCCTTTCACCTCCACTCTCACTCAGGCTGGCTCTGTTCTGTGCCTGCTTCAACTACCCAGTGCTCTCAGCAGCTGGCTACCTTGGGTAGGGTCTCTCACCCTAGCTCTAGCCCTTTGGACCTGAAACAGCAGCTGGATCTACCCCCACCCCCAATGGGGTTTGGTTAATAACTGTACCCATCTGATTCATGCACATGAAATCTTTGTTTTGCTTTTAATTTTAAATTTTATAAAATTTCATCATGATATCTCAGCTGAGGCTACTCTTCCAGGCCTCAGAAGAGGTATCTCTGGGCTGTCACCTCAGGTGACCGAACTCTGTGTTTACTCAGGACTGGGAGGGTTCTTGGGGAGTGGTGCTTTTTGGTGCTAAAACTGTGAAAGTGCCCAGCAAATCAGGGTGAGTTGATC